TTAAGCGGGCTTGGTATGGTCTGGTGGTTAGGATGCTCGATTCGCAGTTGCAGATCGCGGGTTCGAAAACCGTCACCGAAAATGTTCGTCCCTTAAGATTATTTTAGTAAAATGTCCATTTACGCCGAACGAAGCCCAGTGTTTAGCATGCCGAAATGTGTATCGGAGGCTACTTGGTTCTACAGCAAAAAAAAAAATAAATAAATAAAAATTATCGCTCCGCATTTTGGGGTCCTGGGTGCGTTATAAGAGACATGGTCAAATCCAACAGGTCGATTAGATAAACCCTCGAGCTGGTGTTGGTTGCCCACCTTCCCCCAGTCTATTAGTTCAAAATTAAGGACGGCTTGCGCAAATAGCCCTTTAGTAGCTTTATTTAAAAAATCAAGATATAACAATAAAGTGTTAATGTGTTATGTTCTCACAGCTTTTCCTTTGTAATTATGTGATATCATATTGCATATTATTTTATTCGTCCATTGATGTGTAGTATATAACGTTTCCATACGCGGCATTTTTAACCAATAAAATACGCTACTAGCAGCACGTGACTCAGGGGTATTAATACTTTGCGCGCTGAGTTTTCACCGATTTGATCAGGAAGAAAGTAGGAGCTGTCGGAAATTTTGATTTTTTCAGCCGCTGTTTTTTAAATTACAAGAGATGGGTGATCACGATAATCAGTACAATGGAGGAGATTATGGTGACGAAAACCAGCAGTATGGCGAATATGCTGAGGGTCAATATGAGCAGTATCAAGAACAAGACGGTATGGACACCTCTGACAATAATCAAGGCGGAGATGTTTCCAATACTGGCAGTGGAACAACGGGTCAAACAGATAGTGCGAAAGAAGATGATAGGTAACTTAACAGTCTTGAAACATGAAATTAATGTTGAAACGATTTAAACTTCCAGACTTACGAGTTGTATTTTAACCATGAAATTTTACAGTTAAAAAAAAAGAAAGAAAGATGTAATTTAGCAAATTTATGAATACGATATAGATAACGTAACGCCCAATATGGCGGTCTTTGTTTGACGCCATATTGACTAAAACTGAATGCCGGCGAGTTTCTCGTGGTGTTGAGTGCCGTTGGTAGGGATACTCACTGTCACTAAGCGTTAAGCCTCTGAATGGATTCTCGTGCACGTATACTACTACTACTAGCTAGGAATTTATAAATGTAATGTAATTTTAAGGTTTCTGTAAGTGAAACGTAAACTTTAAACTTGCAAAACATCATTTTATTTATTATCTTAATAATGACATTTTAAATTAAAGTGAAATGCGAATTTTATTCACAAAGTTTTAAATCATAAAATGTTTTTTGTCCCATGAAAGTAAAATAATTTAAAAATTGAATTTATTTATATTAGGAACTTTAATACTAATAGTATACTGAATAATTTCTGCACGTAATGATAACTTCTGGAGAATATTGTGATGAGAATGTCTGGTAATACTTCACCAGTGGCAGTACCAACAATGGCCAAATTATTTGTTTCAAGACTTATAAAATGACTTAACAATAACAGTCATGTGTGTGTAATTTTTTAAATAAAAAACGATAAAATTTTAAATTAAAATCCCAAAAGTATGGTTTTCCAGTTCTGTGAAGTGTAAAATAGTTTGACTTAGCAAGACAATTGAGATATTGTTTGGGAAGGGAGGGGAGAAAGTAATAGTCCTCTAAACAAAATACTGTATCCAAGGTTACATCTATTTTTTGTATCTTCCTGATTTAATTTTGTAATATTAAAACTAATAATAATTAATATTGTGCATAATATTTGGAACATTGCATGTTTGTAACTGATTATGAATGTTAACTGTTACTAATAGTAGTACCATATTTTTCTATTAGTTTTAACTGTTAACTCATAAGTCATGATTGTAAAAGTAAATAGATAAGATTTTCATTTATAATTGCACTATAACAAAGCAATCTCTGACTTTGCTATTGTACTAGCTAAACTGCTTTCAGCTAGTTAATTCTGAGATTTTATTGTATTTCCTGCAAGTTTGTCAGAATGAAGCTTATTTTAATTCTTATGATGAATCTAATGGTAGAGGGGCAATTGTGAAAGAGAGAAGTACTTATGAAGATAGTATTTTTTTATTTTTTTTCATAGGGTTAGTGGGAGCAATTTTTTGCTGAAAACTGGCATTTGGCCATCAATTATGCTATTGTAATTTCACTGAGAACACGCTGCTTTTCTTCAAACACTAATCAATCATTTTGAACTCTATAATTGTCAGAAGTGTCAGTTTCGAAGCTGACACGAACATGCAAGGTTGTAAAATGCTTGGAATGTTGCCAGTGTAGCAGGTGTGGATATGACCACTACAGGATCCCTGTGACTAAAACTAATAGATAAGAGATTAAGTTTTATCTCTGATGGTGAAGATACAAGTAAATGCCCCAAGTGAAGAACAACATCCATGTACCCTGTGATTTTTAAGTAGGTTCCAGAAGAGGTCACTAATAATGAAAAAAAGAAGTGTGAGAAAGGCCAATAGTGAAGGAGCTATAAACAGTGTTGGCCATAACCCAAAACCACTAGTCTTTGGTAGTGTGTAACTCTTCATGCATAACAGCTTTCAACTTTCCAGTGGCAGCAAAATGCTCACTTAATTGCAACCTCCCCATCCCTACAATTTACGTGTGCTTTTCCAAATTTGTTGGGAACCCTACCCACTTAGTAAAACACCTTAATTTTCTTTGGTTAAGTCAGAGATTGTGTATTAAACTGACTCTTTCTATTTAATAATTACTGAGCTTATATATTGTATTAGTTTATCATTTTGAAATTATAATTCTGTGCTTAAAGATATTTTGAAGCACAGTATTATCTTTCTTAAACAATATATTGATAGTAATAGCTGAAGCTGGTATTAATATTATTATTCCTATTAAGTCAAAAGATGAGAAAAATTGCTGGTTACTATCTTGGTTTGAAGACTGCAAATCATCTTATTGAGCCAAGTATAGTTCTCTAGTCTGCCATCTTACTAGTGCTCTTGGGTTCCATCAGTGACTTGTAAGTTGTATGTTTGCTTAAAATGATGTATAATTTACCATTATTGCACTCACTTATAAGGGACAATTGTCTGATATGAAAATTTGACAGAGGTGTGCGTGTGTGTATATATATGAAAACATCAAATGAGAAAATTAAGAAAAGTTTATATGGTTACAGCCATGCTACTGAGCAAAGTCAAACTGGATGGTGTACTTTCACAGTTGCATATTTTAGGAGCAGTGATTTTATGTCACTATGACTCTAGTTGTAATAGTAGTGTGACAGCCTTTAGACCTGTGTACTATTTACAACAATTAGTTTATTGCCAAATGGTTATATTCTTTGCTTGAAAAGCAACAGTAAGCTTTTTTACTAACCTGATTATACCACAGACTAAATATTTAAAACCTTTATAAACTTGGAGAATAAAATGTTTTCAAAAATAATAGAATGATGACAGAACATAACTAGTGTTCTATTATTGCATCATTTCCAATCTGGCATAATAATGTACAAGAAAATGTGTTCCATTTTTTCCTTATGTCTTTGCAGTTATGTGGAGTTAGTGACAGGATTGTTAAGGTACTTGCTTCATGTGTGAAAGGGCTCGTTTGATTCTTGGTGATGACAAATTTTAGCAATTCTATAACTTTGTATATAATTTACAATGTGTATTCCTTACAGGTCAAGAAATGGCAAGTGGATGAAAAAAATTAATAAACATGCAGTAGATGGGAGTAGGTTTAGTTAAATTCAAAATACAAATTTGTTTCTTTTGATAGCTATCCCCTTTTCCCTATATTCTTCCCAAAATATATTGCATGCCCCTTTATGTGACTAATTCTGAGATTGCTTCAAGAAAAATACTAGTAGATCAGTTATCAATCATTAAAAGCAAATTTGCTTATATTTATCACATCTCTGAAAAAAAAAATTGTGTAGTTTTTTTAAGTATCGGCCATTAGAGTCCACTTTACTGGAAAAATCAATATTTGTCCTTCATCCTATTTTGACATTTTGTTTCCTACTTATACTGTAGCTAGAATTTATGTTGTGTAGAATATTTAAACTGAGTGATTTTACTATTATGTACCCTGGCTGTGCAAGATTCTGTTTCCCTTCACAAAGAAGAACCTTGAGTAAGGAGTTCTGAAAAACCAGTAGTTTTTCGAAGATTTTTGTTGTTTGGTTAGTGTTTTTTTTTCACATCTTTTTGTTTACTTTTCATTGTAGTTTGCAAATAGTTTGTGGTGTTTTGAACTTAAGAGTGTTTCTGTAGAATAGAAACCATTTTCTTGTGTGTCAAAGTTCCATAATCAGTCTAGTTTTTTGTTGATAGCTGGTAATAACATTTTTAATGTAGCCAATAAAATAACAAAGGTGGGTTCCAGTGGTTTGAACACCTTTCTTCCATCTCCTCCCACCTCCAGTGTTCCTTCTGGTGTAATCACTGTCATGTAAAATAGTTGATTAATTGAGATTCAATTAAGTGATAAATGTCACAAAAATAATCAACTAATTTAAAATTAGCATTTCTGATTATTGTTTTCAATTATTCTATTTAGCCATGTTTTATGGGAGAACAATTGATTAATAAGCCCGACAATTAATTGATTTGAAAGTTCCACTGGTCACCCAGCTCTAAATGCCACAGTGCAAAACAATCACATTTTTTGTAAAATATGGACATTCAATGTAAAAACCAAGATGTAACTTTGATCAATTTGTTTTTTGGTTTTTCAAAAAATCATGGTGTTACACGTCTTACTTATGCTGCTTCTAGTATCTTAAGTGTAACATTATATTTTACTTGTATGACATTTGAATAAGTAGCATAGAACATGGAGTACATTACAATTCATAGGAAACTTTATACCCATTATCATCACACACATACATACATACATATATTCATTAATAACAGTAAGTTATATATGTATGTATGTATGTATGTATGTATGTATGTATGTATGCCTGTCAAATCTTTAGTAGTGGCCAGTCGGCTATCCACTGATCACACTAATTCAATAAATAGATCATTGGATCATCCGTTCTTCTGTATTTGGTTTTAGACTAGTGTGCTGCTGCTAGTGGTAGAGCACTTAGATTTTAAGTTGTATCTACATAAATATTAAATACATGTGCTTTCAGGTGTGGTGGATGAAGCAAATTTAAAGAAGGCATTACACAAAATAATGAAAAGCAAGATGACAGTAAGGCTGTCAATATTAACATAACATGGCTAGCAAGGGACCTTTCAGTCCTCCAAATTTGCCCTAGCAAATTTACCCTTGGAAAAAATAACAATTTAAAATATTTTTCAAGAGATCTAATCCTCTTCTTAACCCACTGTGTATGGCATTGGTCGATTACACATTTTACAGATGTGCATTCAGCAATTAATTAATTATAAATGTGTGTTAATGAACTTGGCATCAGGACATATTTACAATTCAAATATTTATATTAGCTGAGTTTCAATTCCTTAATTTCAAAGGGAAATATTAAAACTGTTTCTACTTCACTTCTCTTATAATATGAATATGCTCTGTTATCCCACTTGTGTACTTTGTGTAGCTTCATTAATATAGCTTTTTTTTTCAATGTATTAACATGAACACAAGTTATAAATAATGACAAGGTAAAATATAAAATTTTAGTGATCTAACTTCTCCATTTGTTAAAATTTCAATGTATATATGTCCAACCTACTATAAAAGCCTTACCCATTTATTCTTAACTTTCAAGGTAGTTTCAACTGTTTTCTTTTGATGTATATGTTTATAATCAGTAGAAAGATCATTTTCTTTTTCTAATTGAAGCTTGAAACTGTCTTTTGATTGTAGTGGGTACTCACTGAAATTTAAGTGACAGTTTGTAACATAGATTGTTTGTTCCAATGACCTCTGGTAGGTTTTCAAGTCATGAAATATAAGAAGTCCAGACTTTAAAATGTTTGTTTGCTGTAACCTGACTGACTGTCTGAAATTGGGGCTGAATAAGTTTTTGTTTGTTTTTAATTGTGTTCTGGAAAGTTTTTATTTTCACCAATTTCTGCCAATATACCGATCCATCTAACAAAATTTACCAATTTAAATTTTTTTTATCCTGTATGATGATTAGAATATTTTTTCTCAGATGTTCATGTTGTCCACAATGTTGTTGGAGGGCATCACGTGATTACCAGTCGATAGCTCAATGCATTGAGATTTGACAGCATGGCTTATTTTGTCCCCGGGATCCTTCACGCTAAACTAATAAATACATGATCTAGCAAGGAAGAATTTACTAGTGACGAGCTTATTCAACAGTATGGTAAACTCAAGTCTGTTCAGTGTATCTGTATCCGAAAAATTTTCTCGGGTGGTGAGGATTAGGGTCAAAACATGTTATTTCAATTGGAAACTTATTCACACGGAGGAAAGTACTTGTAGATTTACTTGGTGAATGAGGTAAAATGGAAGAGTAAACTGTAAAATTATCAGCAACAGTCAGTTCAACTTCATCGATTGAGGTCAATATTGACCAGCAAATGTGTGTTGCAAAAGAATTTTAAATTTCTGTAATTCTCTTCAAAAAATAAATGTTGATAGTAATTGTATTCATGGTTTATTGCATTATGTTTCGGTTGATAATGGAACTAGTGGTATTTCCAAAAACATTTTGCCAACCAATTTGAAAAAGAAAAAAAAAATTGCCTACCCATGTTTTTAATTAGTTTAGGGTTACAGCAAACAGAAATATTTTTAAGCCTGGCCCAATTGGCAAACACTTGTCTAAAAACATGATTGATCAGATATGATAATTGTAATTTTTTAATGAATGCATCTGTCATCCAGTTTATCACAGTATAAGATTTCCTCCTCTGCCCTTCTAAAAGAAACTTGTAGTGACTTGTATGGATAGTGTTGTAGTAGCTAGTGTACAAAGTTTTGTGAAAATCTGGAATAATTATTGAGAAGTGAGTATTAGAATACTAGTGAGGAAAGTTAGTAATATGTAACTCTAGTATCATGGTATTCTGTAGGTTGAAATATACAATATATATATATATATATATATGCATATTTGAGTTCCGGGGTGATAATGTGAGGAGAGATTGATTTAAAAGGGGGGGGGAAAAAATTACAGTTCATCAGTTTAACACAGATCACACCCCCAAAAGTTGTTGTTAAAGCAACTGAGGGTATAACTGTCTCAACTACTACTGTAATATTCTACAACCAGCCCGAGTCCTGGTATTGGGTGAAAAGCTTCATTAACAATATATATTAAAGTTACTTTATTTAATATTCTTAGTTTACTATCAATGTCTTGTATAAACAGGTTAAACAGTGGAATGCCTGTTTTGAAGGCAAAACCAAAGCATCGTCTAGCACTGATATCTTGTACTCAGTAGTCTAACCTGTAGTTATATTTGTATTAATTTTTTTTAAAACCCCATATAGATTTGTGTCAAGCTCATAAATAATCTAAACTTTTTTCTTTTCTTTTTTTTACAAACCTTTAGCTTTCACAAAAACAATTTACTAATTACATAATGGGTTGATAGGCTGCACTAAGATTAAGTTCATTGACAGTAGACCTGTGTTATTTCATTTTTGTGATCATCCATTGGTTTTCTACATTAGAAAAGTAAAAATTGAAGACATGATTTTGTGTTTGCAGGGTGTGGGAAACTCAATTTTACAGTTTTTATGAGATTATCTTTAGTAAATAATGACACCTAAAAACACAGAATGATGTCCCTGGAACTGGGTATCTTTTTTGTCTGTTTCTATATTTTTATAAATTTATTTTGATTTAAAATAGTGTATAAAATCTTGTAAAACAAAATGAAATTTTTTTGAAGTTTTAAAATAATTTTTTCGGTTTAAAAGATCTCAGTATTTGTGTACCTTTTATTTAACATTGCTGCACAAACCATTAATTTAAAATGTGGTTGTAATGTTTTATTGATTAGCAGTTGTCAATTCTGAAACATTTTTTAGGTACTTTCATTGATATGAATGTTTTATTAAAGTGTTTTTTGCTCTTGTGTTGGCAGTGGTGGATCGATATACCCCCAGTGGAGGCGCCTTCTGTTCTAGAGGGGGTCTGTTGATTCTCACACAAAACGCTCCTCAAGTCCTGAGCAGTATCTTGTATTATTCCTTTATACTTAGTGTAATTCCAGTAATTAACATTATTATATATTATGACTACTAAAACTGTGATTATAAGTGGGTCTAGAACAAACGTGATGTAAAATGTTGTTCATTCTAAACATGTAAGTGGGTTGCATGGTATGTATAAAATTTAAATGTTAAGAATAAAAAATTTAAAAGGGTGGGATGAAGTGGGCCTCCACTAAACCACCATGACGACCCGTCAGGCATGGATGTGCAGACGTCACAGCTCATCCACAGCAGGAATCTTTTTTTCACCGTAGCCAAGATGTTGGAACATGGGTTGTTCAGCCTCCACCATCTCGGGACCGAAGCAGACTGAACTGGAAGGAGCTTTCACCACTGCTTGGTAAAATTGAAGCACACCTAACCTTTTACATAGGTGTAAATACTGTTGAAAAAAAAGTTCACAGAAATAAATGCTCAGTAATTCCCAATACTTTTTCATTACAGACCCTGAGCATATTCAAAGACTTAATTTACATGAAAGTTGTAAAGTAAACATTTTGAATGTTTGTCAAATAAAATATGTGAAAGTAATTGGGTGTTTGATGTAAACTCTTTTTAACAGGACTTAAGTAGGATGTCCAGAAGCAATCTTTGGCACTGAAGTTTACCCAGTGTAAAAGGGTGGCCCATATTATATCCTGATACTACAAGTAATTGTAATGTAAATGTTTGATTTTTCAGATTTCATTATGCTAATTTATTTTCCCTTTCGAATAAACTTTTCAGAGGCCATCTTAAGCATTAAGACCTGATTATGGTCTGCTTAAATAAAGACTTAAAGGTAAAGTAACTTGTAGGGACTTATTTTTAATGTATTAATATTAGAATAAGTAAGTTTTGTTTTATTGATTTTTATTTTTTGTGTTCTTTGTAGGAAACTGTTTGTTGGAGGTGTAAGTTGGGATACCTCATCAAGTAAGTATTATAATGCTTCATAAACACAAAACTACATAAACAAGCACAAATTTTTTTTTCAAATTTCTTTAATATATTTAGAAAGCCAGATAAGGCATAGTATTTTTGAGACATTCTATTCCAGAGTCTGATACTTTTAGTCTAAAATGCATATCTGATAATTAGATTAATTATTTTTAGACAACCAACATGTATGGTCTACAATTCTTAGAATGATACAAAAAATATAGGCTTACTAAACCATGCAGCCAAATGTAAAAGGCAGCAAGGCTAAAATAAGTGCTAAATTTCTTTTGTGTGTGTGTATTATCAAAGGTAACTGAAATGTATAAATTAGAGACTTATTTTAAATAACCTAAATGGGGTGGGGGATTCTCCAAGTCTATCTAAGGCAAGTAATTATAATTGTCCATTACAACCTGCAGTCATTCTAAAAAAAAAGTAATTTTCATTTTATATTTTCCAACTTGTGCTACAATGTTAGGGTGGAGAAAATATGAGAAGTATAAATACTTTGTTGTACACAGAGAATTGATTTTTTAATAGATCTATAACGTTTACTAAAATCTTGCCAAATTTTGTAAAAAATTGGTATAATATATATAGTTTTGTGGTTCTAAATGAAGAAACCTGTATGCATAGTTAATAAGGCATGGATAAGTAGGTTGATTTTTATAAATAGTCCAAATTCTGTTGTTACTTTTCTTTTTGAAATGGCTCAAATTTAGATGAAACAGTTTGTTTACATAAGTACAAAATTTTGTTTTATTTATTTTTCTCCAGATGAGATAAAAGAATACTTTTCCAAGTTTGGAGAAGTTACCGATGTAAATATAAAAACTGATCCAGCTACTGGGAAGTCTCGGGGGTTTGCCTTTGTCACCTTCTCTACAGTAGAAGCAGTTGAATCGGTAAAATATTAATACTCTTTGTATTTGTGAAAGACTATATATTATGTAACTTTATCATGAGGCTCTTGATAGTTTTCCTGTCACCAGAACTGTTGTATGCATCCCAGTTGTAAATGTCTAAAATTTCCAATTTTTATTTCACATGGTTTGTGATTATTGAAATTACGAAATAAATTTATTTTATTTTTTTGATGCGAGTCTCTTTGTTGCATGCCACACTAAATAGATATTAAAAGGAATGCATTGATAAGACTACAAATTCTAGTGTTTGATCATCCTAGTAGTAATTTTTATATTTATCTTTGATAGAACTGTGTTTAAGAATAAAGTAGGATGTTTAATTAGGCTTAATGGTTTCGTTGAATTTTGGTTTAAAAGTTGTTTATATTACAACTTTAATGTTATTTAGGTTTTGGCAGTAAGCAGTCATGTGATTAAAGGAAAACAGGTTGATCCCAAGAGAGCAAAAGCTAAACCTGGTGTTAAGAAGATCTTTGTTGGAGGGCTTGATCCCACTATGCTTGAAGCTGACATCAAGGCTCATTTTGAGCAGTATGGGAAGGTTCGTAGTCATAGTAATTTCATTATTTTACACCTTTTTTTTTCTAAACCTTAAGGCTAAGTGTTTAAGAACCCCAGAAATCATATTTTTTATCTGTTATTTTCTCTTCTCTAACACTAACTAGCAAAATGAACAATTCTTTTCTTTGAAAATATAATTTTTGGGGGATTTTTTTTTACAAGTCTTTATACACAAATGATAATTATATTGTGTTAAAGATTTGTCTATTAATTCATTCAATCATAGGCTGACTTACTAGTAGGCTAACATGTATTCAAAGTTGCTGTTGCTGTGATTACAAGTTTTGTTCCTAACTGATTCTGTGAAATAATGATTTATTAAAGCACTAACAATAATTCTATCCAACTGCAAAAACAAAACTCGTGTGCAATCACTAAATTTTCTTTCTTTTTTTGTATATTTCTCTAAGTAACTAAAATGTAAAAACTGGGAACTTGTTAGGTTACGTAGAAAAACATAAGCGAAAAAAAATAAATAAATATTTCAATGAAGTATGTATGCGAGCCTTGTGTGTTATATAATTCAATAACTTGTGTTATCATAAAGTGCCAGGTGTTTATGGCCTTGTTACATGTGTAATAGTTAGACATGGTTCAAAGAACAATAACATTTCACAAAAATGGGTTTAAACTTGGAGCTTAAGGCTTTTTAGGATAAACAAGTTTAATTTCTGTTATAATGTACAGCCATTTTAGAATGAAGGGGAAAAAAGGGATGGTAAATTGGTCTGAGCCTGTATAGTGTTAGTGTAGAAATAATAAAATATAAAACTATGGTTAAAGACCTTGATATTCTTTTAGGAGGTTCTAGATGTTATGCATGTGAATTTGGAAAACTGTAAGATAAATTATTTTTTAATCTTGACATGGAAATCACCTTTCACTCAATCTAGTCAGAATCTTAGTCACTTTTAACTTCATAAATTCACAGACAAATCTTTAGTAAAGATAATTAAAATCAATTTTCTTGTGTACAATAGTCTTGTAGTGTTTACTAAAATTAAGTGAAGATCCACTTTCTACATTAAATGTTAGATGTATAGTCATTTTTACATGGTGATTGCAAGGTTGATCAAATTGAGATGGTTAAGTGTCTTAAGCTTTTGGACAGATTGTGAAGTTACTGGGCACTGAAAAAGTAATATATTGTTCTCTTTAAGTTGTGGATCTACTTGAAAATGAATATTTATTGCAGTAAAGTATAATTCAGTCAGCTTTGGAAGTGTACATTATCAAACTGTCAAAAGTTCTCATTTGAAATTGCCTTAACTATGCATGAAGACTACCTGTTTCAAGGGGTTTGACAATTTTCATGGAAGATACTTTAAATAACACAGGGTGTTATTTTTTTAGATGTACCAGTTTTTTAACAATCATGTCAAAGTTATCTATTGTAGTGTGTTTCAATATGGACTACGGATCAGTCTTAATTTAATACATGTTTCTACATTACTTTGAAAGTGACAGATACTGAAACTTTAAAGGTATAATTGCCTTTGTTATTTTTAGATGAATGCTTAAAATGTATATTTGAGTACAAACAATTGGCAATACCTCCATTTTTCAGAGATTGTGTCCTAGAAATAAAACTTCAAATTACTATTTTGGCTTTTTAAACCTACCTTGATTGTCTTGTCTGCGTGGTCTTTCCCATTAATTATGATTATTCAGAAGTTTTATATGCAAGAGGTAGAGAAAAGATAGTGCAATATTCAAAATAAAAGACTTGTCAGTAGCATGAGGGCTCCTGTTTTTTGTTTTGACATATGCACACAAACAGACAGACTTGGTTTCAAGAATTCTAGACTTTTTTTTTGTGTGTGTGTGTCTGTATAGAATGGTTAATATTTTTTAGTTTTATAGCTAAGGATAAAGTTCAATGTTATCAAATTCTGAGTAAAATATTACAAGTACCAAATGATATTTCTAATGTTTGTTTTTTCGATAACAGTCCAGATTAAATGTTTTAATGTGATATGTATTTGATTCTTTTCATAACATTTTTTTCTTTTCAGGTTGAAAATGTTGAATTGCCATTTGACAAAGTGAAAAACCAGCGAAGGCAGTTCTGTTTCATCACTTTTGAATCTGAAGATGCAGTTAATGAAGTTTGTAAACAACCAAAACAAACTATAGGAAATAAGGAATGTGATGTTAAAAAAGCTACAATGAAGCCTGACCCCAGAGCTATGAGAGGTGGTTTTATGGGTGGCAGCTGGGGAGCGCCTCGTGGTCGAGGAAATGGAAGAGGGCGTGGAAGAGGAAGTGAGTTTCTTTTTGATAACTGGATTTTTTTTCCCTAGAAGGGGTAACATTTGGTTCAATGTGTATATGATATGTTAGTTTGTGTCTTATTAAATATTGTGATTTACTATTACTTGTAAAATAATAACATTGTCCCACTTACCTTTTTGTGCATGTCACAACCTTTTCTGCATAGTTACATTCAAATGTTAATTAAACAACTTTATTATCGGTGTTTACACGTAGCTCTGCCGTGATAGATGGTTTTTGCCATACTCTATGAGTGGCTGTAATCTAATTGACATGGATGTGAAAAGTATTAACTTTGGCTTTTAGAATTGTTTGAGATTATTTGATACATTATGTAGTCATTCTAGAAATAAAAGTAAGGTGATTTAGATTATTTCATATTTTTCAACTTTTCATTTTACTGTAAATAGCTGATTTTTTGCTACAGTTAGGGTAGAAAAATACAAAGATTTACTGGGAACAAACCTTTCTTTTTACAGGCTCTATAGGTATAGCTTAACAGAAATTGGAGTTTGTGCAATGCACCAATGTCATTCACACAGGGTTTAAATCTGTTTACTACACAGTTGGTGATGCATGATACTTTTTGTTATTCATAAGGTAGCTAAAAAGGAGCTTCTGTTTTGTTTTTTCTCTCAGGTTTCCAACAACAAGGATGGGGAAACCAAAGTTATGGTGGATATGGTCAGGCATATGGAGGCTATAACCAAGGATATGGAAACTATGACTACAGTGGTTATGGTAGCTATGGTGGTGGTTATGGCAGTAACTACAGTGGGTATGACTACAGTGGATGGGGTTATGGACAAGGTTATGGTACGTGGTTACTGTTAATCAGTAATTTTTGTTTTTGAAATTTCAACTAATTTGTCAACGTCAAAAGTTTTATAATGATTTAAAGTATGCAATGCATAGTTATGATTATTTAAAGGTAAATTTTACTATTCATATTTAAACTTGATTATTGAAAGAAATTTACATATTAAGTGTCAGTTTTTCATTATATCTTTAGGATATTAATATAAAAAAAATTATCTTTACCCAAATGATGTGCTTGTGTAAATACTTCCTGTTTTTTCCCAGGTCAACAGAACAGTAGCTATGGCAAAGCTCGCAGAGGAAATTCAATTGGTTACCACCCTTACCGCTAATAAACTAAGAAGACTAACATGCTGTGTGTGTGATCTTAATGTCCATTTTGTCAGTAGTTTTTGTTTTTTGTTTTTTTTAATACACATTTGTGATCATGATGTACATAGTGACTGAGTAATAAAATTTTACACCCTGATATTTCTTCCTCATTAGGTTAGTGTCAGTTGTTTCATTTCTTAAGTGATGCTTGAAGTGTGACACTTAAACTTAACTTTCAAATTTAATATTCTTCAATGATTATAGTTGTTTCTGGCTCTTTATTTCAATATATCAGAATAGACTAGTCTTTTTTTAAAAACTTGCTGTGTAATAGCTAAACATTTGTTGCTGTTTGGAGTGCTTTCCATTCTTGGACTAACAATTATATAGTTAAAATAATATTGCAGTATTCATTTTTTCTAGTTATGTAATTATAATATTTGTTCCAGAACCTATAATTTATTGTTGCAGCAGTGCTTCTTATGCACACTGCCCATGGAAGTATTATAATGAGATGGTCAATTCCACTATCCATTGGTATAATAAGTAGCCCAAGAGTTGGTGGTGTTGATTAGTTAGCTGCCTTCCCTCTAGTGTATTACTTCAGAATTAGGGAGTACTCTTGTAGATGCCCCTGTGCACAAAATACAAAACAAACCCAATTAAGTTATTCAAATTGTGTAACCCATTAATTAAAATGGATGTTTCTGCAAGTGAGAGGAATGTGAATTGGTTTGAGCTAATTGTAATAGATGAGCATTTGATTGTTCATGTTTTTGGTTAATTGTGGGAAATGTATATATATTTTAGGTTCAGAAGAATTGTAGTGAATGTGAGATGGAAGTGAATTGCATTTCAGGTGATGGTATAGCAAAAATTTTAATTTATTTTCAAAATTAGTCCTTGCTTTAGCTCACCTAAATTTTGTTGTTCATTTCATGACAGATGATTAGGTTTGAAGAAAGACTAGGTTTGTTTTGACAAAAAACAGTGAAGTGAAGGCAAGTTGGATTTAAAATTGGATATCAAATATACTTAAGAGTACTTCCAAGTTTATTAGGAACTTTTATTTCTTTATACTCTGGAAAAATGAAAATTTTATAAAAGTTTATAGAAAAGTCTTTATTCTGATTTATCTTTTACTATTTAGAATTAACTCCAAAGAATAGTCCCTAGTAATCTATGATTAAAGGATTGGTCCAAGTTGAATTATAGTGATTGGATTGTAGTTTTCTTGTACACGAGGTATAAACTATAGACTTAATGGTACCTTTTATAATTGGTTAAATCTCTTCTAGAGGTTATTTTTAGGTATTTGTATAGCTGCTGTTAAGGTATCACTCAATAAGCTTCACTGACAAAGGTAGTAAGTGTATCTGTTTAATCAGTAAAAACATTTTAATTGCTAAGACTTGTACATCTACACGTGTTGGTCCTTAAGTAAGCCTCTGGATAATGTAAAACCTGTTTTCAGACATGAATTATGTAATAATGTTAGTAGAATTGCATTTAGGAGTGTTTACAGTGCAACTACATCTTTGCATAATTAGTCTATTTTTCATATGCAAGTATATGGACTATTCTACAAGTGTAGCAGGGGGGGGGGGCTACTAACAAAGTGGCTACTCAGTGTAAGCAGATGTTTAACATAACATGTGCTGGACAGGTGACAATACTTGAATAATGATACTTGTATTGTTATTAAGAAAAATTATGTACATATGGTGCTCTCTTGTAGAGCAAAATCTAATGAACACAAAGAACGGAAAAATTATTGTAATGGTGATGGTTGATGAGAAAGCAGTCTCTTTCAGAAGAAGAATAAAAACCTGACATATTAATTATTAATAAAGTATGAGATCAATTGGGAGGAGCAGGAAGGGACAGGCAGAGAGAACAGACACTATCCACAGATTAGACATTGCAAAAAGAAATTATTGTTTTTATTTATTTTTTGAATAACTGGAGACTCCAAAGAGAAACTTCATCCACTGTTATCCATTTAATAGTGAGATGATAATTGGATCATACCGAAAGACCAGCAAGTTCTTATGGTAAGAGGCACATATCCATTTTAATCAAACTGGAAATTGTCAGCTGTGATATTTTACTGACTGAAATGGAATGTAAGTGGAAATTTCAGATCAAATTATGCAAGTGTTTGTGTAAGTTTGGCAAACTTAATAGTTACGAGCCTTACTCAAAATCATTTTAATACAGATGTCATTGTGAAAACTGAGTGTTTGTTTATAAAAAATGTATATTTGTACTTTTAGGGGTTAAAGTTCAGTTCAATACCAGATATAAAAACGCAGGAAACGAGTTTGCTATAACAGTTTGTACACTGTAATCTTCATTTATTACACTAAAGCCCTATTGTGGCCCAGTGGTAAGTCTTGGGGCTTGTAATCATAAAAATCTAGTGGGCAAATCACAAATAATCCATTATGTAACTTTTTGCATTACAATGAAAAAAAGTATATCTCTTCTGTGAATAACAAGTCTTTTTAAGTGAAGAACACAAGCCATCACATCAAATACATTATTTACGAAACTTTAGTTTCGGTTCGTGAGCAAGTGTAAGTTCAGTCTAGGTTTTTAAAACGTACGTCTCAGACTTGAGACTTTAAAATACTATTTTCAAAAATTGAATATGTTACTAATAAAAAAAAAATTTCGAAACTTGTCTAATTCAAACTGATTGTACTATTTTTATAGAAAGAAGCTCAGTTGCTAAGATTTATTAAATTAATAGTAAAAATTGAATTTTTTAGCAAGAAACTAGGTTTTGAGTTACTGTTTAAGAATTTCTCGCAAAGATACAAAAGGGTTGAGTGCATTCTGTCCATTGGGGAAAGTTCTTTGTACCAGTAAACTGAAAAATATATAGAAAATAAATTTGTAATCGTTCTTTCTACAGACTTGTTAAAAAATATTTCGGGTTGGAATTTGTACTTAAATTCAAACAAAATTTGTGACTTAAAAGTTTATTTTATTGTGTTGATTTCATCACACTCTTAACCAAAACGTTAGTTTTTGTGAATTTCCTCAATTTTTTTTTCTGAGCATAATATGACATTCATAGTCCCCTAGGAGAAAAGTCTAAATAGTTTTGAACCAAAACAGTAACATTTTGAAACTTGTAAAATTCGTTGCATGTGTAGTTATGTTAATTCTAGCCAATCACTGTTTCTCAACATTGAGAAGTCATTAGTGATCTAAACGCGGGAGTTTCGCAATACATATCTAACACTACAACTATGCATGACTCCATTGCTACCAATACCAGAACCACAACAGAAAATCAACACAAATAACCAACCTACCACAAACATTTGCATGGGTAGTAAAAACCCACACTCAAACAGAAGAAAACAAAACCAAAGAAGAATACTGAACCCATTAATGATAAAACAAAGGAATTAGCAATCAATATAACTTTGGCAGTCACAAACATAGTCTCAAATTTCCTGGAAAAAATAATAACCTTATAAACCAAGAAGACTGCATCATACTAATCACGAAAATAGCGTTAGAATACCTACCAGCAATATTACCACAGGTAGCACAGTTACTCTTACTACCACAAACATTTTTTTTTTTTATTATTATTATTCTTGTAAACTCCCAGTGGAGCATAGGGCCCCAACGACACCTCGCCAACGGAAGGTGTTGTTGCAGTTACTTGTAGCAGGGTGGTTTTTACGGGGTGGAGTTGCTAGCCCCGCGCCCAACCATCCTCCTTTCTCATCCTGGACTTTGGACCAGGTGGAGGTTGGCATGTTTGGTGTGAGGGGGATTCGAACCCGCGACCCTCAGATTACGAGTCGAGCGCCCTAACCACCTGGCCATGCCGGTCCACCACAAACATTACAGAACACAAATACCAAGCAAACATAAGACTACACACATATACAACTTGAAAACATAAAACGGACATGGCCCTGAAAAGGAAAGTGATAATAGAATTCAACAAACTAAACTAGCCACCCAAACCTAAGAAGATAGTAAAATATAATAACAGTACAGTAGGGAGGAAGAGGTCTACCAGAACCTGACCCTCCCAGGTCGTAAAAGACTTAAATCCCGATCAGGAGGAGAGAGAGATATGGATGTTTTTAAATATAAACTTAATCTAAACAACCTTCCTATTAAAACAAATTCATTACAGTATGTTACTAGAAGAAGAAATGTTTGTGAACAATTACAGCCCTGATTTTGTTTTTTGATCATTTTTGCGCTTGACCGTATCTGGTTTCGTTTTGCTGACAAGGCCGCTGTTTGTTGGACCATATTTACCTTAGGTTTCATTGGCCTAACAAGCTGCTTGAATGGGCAAATAAATTCGCTCAAAAGAGATGTTATGGTGAAAATGATGAATTTAAAATGTATTACATATATTGAATGAAACATTCTAATTAACAATTTAAAAATCAGGTGGCTATCTTGTAACTTTGGTAGGTTATTTTGTTGTACCTCAGTAATTGTAAACACTGAAATTTCATGCGGTGTTTTTCGAATCAAGTTAAAGATAAAACATATAGGAAAGTTGATTTAAGAAGACGTTAAATATTTGTTATTGAAATCTACAGCAAAAGCATTTTTTGTATCTTACATATCGCAACACAATATTTTCGTTTTTCTGAAGCTGTAAATTCATATTGAATTGATGCAACCAGACCCTTTAGAGCTAATGAAGCTGCATTTTACTTGGGGTAACTTTTGTTTATATGGAGGAAAAAAGATTAAATAGTTTTAATCTTTGCAAATCATGATTTTAGATTTTTATCTCGGCAAAAATACAGATTTCTTAAATGATTTGTGAAATAGTTGTATATGATTGGGAGTAAAAAATATATTTTTCAACATTTAACGATAATAAAGTACAGTCATTTTTTCTTTAAATTCAAGGGAAGTCCCAATTTAATGTTTTGAATTTGATTGGTAAACTCAATAAAAATGAATTTTTTTGTTTCTAAGCTTCTTTTTATGAAAGTTTACGCAAGTCACTGTCAATCAAAGAAAGAGACATTCACATTGGTTAAGTTATTTCGATGATGTTTTATACGATATATATTTTGACAAAGAAAAAGAGTTTCTCAAACCACATGTCAAACACAACCCAACATTCATTTTGATCAGTTTACCGTTATCTAGTAGCGTTAGGACTAGAGCTATATTTGAATAATCTGACGGCCTAAACATTGATAAAGTAACGTTGGCTTGCGTTGTGAAGAAATTACTTTAATATAAATTAAAATTGTAGGCAAAAGTGGAATATACACATTTCACTGCTGTTAGTGTTACGGTGTGAACACATTTTCTCAGCTGCCGAAACATAATTGTAATTAATTATACTTCTAATATTAATGTTTTTATGACAAATATATTTCACTACAAGTTGAAAGTCGTCTTTGCTGCACTTTTATTTGATAGAGATTTCAAGTATAGGTGAAGCCTTAGTTATAAGTTGCTTACATATGTTGCAGTCGGCGTCAGTTAACGTTTACTTCATAAATTAATATGGATTTGAGACTAAAATTCATAGAAAGGCAACAAACTATACCTTAATTTTGAGTCTGCACACTACACAGAACAGAAACTAGGTGCATTGTACAAACATCAAGTAATATATGCACAGCAGACAATTTAGACCTGTATTTCTCAACCTGGGCACCCACACTTTACTTTTTTAATTCAGGGGGCGTACAGAAAAGTTTTGAGGGTTTCAAAGTTATATTTGTTAAAATGAAACCATAAGAAATAGGGTTTTTTCTTTCAACACGTTTGTGCAAAAATCATTATGTGGGTGTGTTTGTGGCAAGCTCAAGGTAATCTTTAAAAATTAATTCAATACTCCTGTGTTACCACGATATATTTTGTTCCTTTTTGCAATTAAGTAATAGTAATGAATATGTGCAATAATGGTGACAATATTTTAAAATTTACAATTGACTATTATTGCCTTACAATTTTCAATTAAGTAAAATATTTTAATTGGTCTAAAATTTTATTAGAAGGGACATGAGCGCTCATTGTTTGCTGTGGCGATATAGTTTGGTAAGCACTGATTTAGACGATGAACTACAAGGAATTTCATGGTGGGCACAGCAAAGATAGTCCATTATTGTGTAGCTTTTTGCTTAGCTACAAACAAAACCATTGTACCCCGGTGGGACAGCGGTAAGTTTACAGACTTAGAACGTTGAAATTGTGGCAATATTATCATGCTATGATATATGTATGTAATGATTAAAATAGACATGAATTTCACCCTTCCATAACTACTAGTTTAGAATATATCTTTAGTAAGGTACATTTTGCAAAATTTTACAAATGTTCTGCACGTAGCACGATATTCTTAATAAACGAATATCGAAAGGTCGTAGTTCGTATCTACGTCCCACCAAACATGCTCGCCCTTTCAGTCGTGGGGGCGTTATAATGTGACGGTTAATCCCACTATTCGTTGTAAAAGAGTAGCCAAAGAGTCGGCGGTGATGACTAGCTGCCTTCCCTCTAGTCTTACATTGCTAAATTAGGGACGGCTAGCGCAGATAGCCCTCGTGTAGCTTTGCGCGAAATTCAAAACAAACAAACAATCGAAAGTTCGTAAACATGTAATAACACTTTTATTTAGGTAGAGCTTGCAGATGGTAACGGCCGCGCCTGACCCCCATGGTTTTACGTCTGTATGATTTTTATTTGGAACAGACGGTGACGTTTTGAGCGTTGGATTCGGTTATACTACACTTGAACGTTTGATCTGAATTTCGCCTATAAATCCAAATTCCCTTTGTCCAATGAATACAAAAGACTATTCAGAGTTCCAAGTTATTCTCTGCAGAACATTTCCCGAATACCGGATATATTAAGCTTCAAAATATTCAGCTCGATTTTCAATTATCGAAAGAACTAGCCGAATTCTTTGTTAGAATAGACATTGTAAAGTCAAGTTTATTAAAAAATTTCATTACGTTACTATTGTACATATTTTTGTCCCAACACTATTAATAAGAAGTAAAGTAAGCCAGTCACACCATTCAGCACATTTAGGTTAGTAGAAGTTTTTTGTTGTTAAGTATTGTAACACGAGATTAGATAAGCTTGTAAAAAGTTTCTGATGGTGTTTGCTGAGATAATTTCTTTAGATAACCCATCGTGTTATTAACATTTGAAATTTTACTTTTTTTTTTCACTAGCTTTTTAAATATGTTGCGTTTGAGAACGAGTTTGATTAAAACCCAAATCTTGAGATTTGTAAAAGAAATATTTATTTACAAAACACCACAAGCATGCTCACTGGCGGTTGTCTTTGTTAAATACCATACTATTAGTTTTGGTACAAAGATAAAACCAATGTGACATATATACAAGCAAAAATTCGGCATAACAGGATAAATCATTCAGAGTAGACAATAGCTCTAATATCCTTTGTCGTGAGAGACTCTGTGTAATACCTTGTGTTCGACTTTGTAGCCCGAATTGTAGTCATGACTGGGTTTATGAGCATTATGGGTTCCAACATTAGGGTAATGATGGGCTGAACCGTATCCAGCCTTTCCATATCCAGCTTGTCCATATCCAGCCTGTCCATATCCAGCTTGTCCATATCCAGCTTGTCCATATCCAGCTTGTCCATATCCAGCTTGTCCATGTCCAGCATTTCCATGTCCATATCCAGCATTTCCATGTCCATATCCAGTAGCAATCGCAATGGGGAGAGGAAATACTCCAAATTTCTTTCCCCCGCTGTATTGGCTGTCAGCATGGAAACCAATGGAATGTTTTCCAGAGCCGTGTGACCCAAAGAATCCTATTGATTGGACTAACTGGACCATGGCCAATATAATCAGAATGAGGACGGTAGTTCCAACACAAATCTTCATCTTGATAAGATTGCACTGCTAAGAAGATACAAAATTAATCAGCGAAAAGCTAAAGGCTCACAACCTGAAAGCTATAAGAAAATCCATAAAGTGCTCCATCAAACATTTATTATAATATTACGAATAATAATAATTGTATATATATTAATGTAAAAAAATTTAGGTTAAACGATGTGTGAAATTAGAGGAAATTACAACAAATAAATTGTATCTGGTATGAATAATTTAAATTGGAGAGTAAAATTAAGACAACCTACCGATTCTCTGTTTCGATACGCCTTTTCGTGTGGTTGAGTTACGATTTTGTGGTATAAGCTTGAACCTAACTGGTTTATATACTCAATGACCAAAATCAGTAACCAATCGTGATTCTTCTAGATGACTGTCTATTTGCCTCTAGTTATCAGATCGTGAATTACTGTCCTGTGATTGGTGAAAGTCAAGGTTAGTTGGCAAAGAGTGTTAATGAACTTTGATTCGGTCTTGACCAAGAATTCCCCAGAATAAACTCTTGTGTAATAATGCCTGTTATTACATACATATACATTCATATGAACTCCACATATGTGACCTTAAAGACAAAGCAAAACGTTTATGCTTCAAAATATAGAGCTGTTCTATTTTATAAATACTGAGTTATATGTTTCTTAATTGGGAATTCACTAAATTTATTTGGAATAATAATATAAAAACTTTATATTATATTATTATAAAATTAAGACAGTATTCTGTTAACATATACTCACGTTATATAGAATCCTTAGATAAATAGTTGTAGAATACAGTCGTATATTTAAACTATGTCATAGAGATTTGCTTGCTGGTTTTGAGTGTTATGAAGTGTTAACTTTATTGAGTGAATTATATTTACCCCTACCACTCTTTATTTTGTCTCTATTAGCTTGTTACAAATAAATACAAGTTTTCTGAACGGCGGTTTAGAGATGATGCGTTGAAAATATAATTTAAGTAGAAATTATTAATTAATTCCTAACGTGGGGCAGCTGAGATTAAACCTGATATATGAAAAACAGATAAATTTAACGCAAGCTTGTATACACTTTCGCCGGAAATAATATGTATTATTCCAACCATATTCAAGGGGAGTAGTTTGGTCTGAGATACTGTGAAGTCCTTCCGATAAAGAAGCAGTTTACTTGTTTGTTACATTTAGAGTCAATAAAACAACAACATGGTGTAAATAATTTATATTTTAACTAAGAGCTTCTTTCGAATGTATTCTTGAAACTTGAATGTCTACATCTAGAGAGGCAGAGATAAATTATTCTATGATATGAGCTTAAGTAACATTGTTATACATATTTTGAGATTTATTACAGATATTTGACTTAAGTTGAAAACAGTTTTGATGTGCATGCTATTATTTATAGATATGTTCACTGACTTCAACGAGCAACAAGTTAAAATTAAAAACTACTCGAGCTTAAAAATAAGAAAGTACTTTAGGAATTTGCTAAATTAAATATATTTACTTAAAGCTAATAAATACCTTTAAGTTAATATACACATATTATTTCATGTACGTTGTTAATTCGTTTATTTTCATTTCGTAATGAATATGTGAATATTTAAGGCTAAGTCCAGGTTAATTATCTATTTGTATTTTAGAGTTTGTTAAAAGAGAAACTTATGATGTTCGTCATTATTCATTTTGTTCGGCACTTTATATATTTTGATGTTATTTGAAGTTTTATTTCGTTTTAAAATCTGCACAGAGTAAGAATTTCTGAAATGTGATCTGTCAATTTTAATAAAATAAGTATTCACATTTATTCAGCTTTGTTCTTACATATCATTTCATTCATGCTAAAGTCCACATTAATTACATCCCTTTGAATCGTTAATCATTATTTTCAAGTGCTTATCTCATGTACACTGAATTAGAACGCTTTATGTTTTTTTTTTTGGGGGGGGGGTAGATAATTTTAAATTAAGTTATTAGCTTTCATTTTTACTGTAATATTTTTGTGCGCGTCCGTTTATATGTGAATGCATCTCATAGATCCAAAAGGCACAAGACGTCTATGTGATAATTTCTACCGGTATGAACTCAAATTTCATGAAGCATTCAATAATATTCAGCCATACAGTTTTTACCATCAGGTAACTTTTACAAAATAAAGACTGTTCGTCAGTCTTGTAACAATGAATTACGGAAAACAATGTAAAGGAAATGCTGAGCACGCCCCGCACTTCAATGAATTACGAAAACAATGTAAAGGAAATGCTGAGCACGCCCCGCACTTCATTATATGAGTGACGGTGAGTCCCTTTATCTAGTTCAAAGCTGAAGAAGGCCTCTGTAGCGCCGAGTGTTGCTGGATGACAGCCTTCCTATCGGAGCATCATCAGAATTTAGGTCTTGATGAATTCAAATTCGGTGACGAGGAACCCACTTTGAGACTAATAATGCTTGGAGATGGCTTGAATTGGTAATGAAGAAAACTTTAATATAGGTTTAACATAACAACAAATGTACAACGATTCGACAAGGTTTTGTCATCAAAAACTTTGATGTAAGTTTTTCTTCATTACCCATTCAAGCCGTCTCCAAGCATTATTAGAATTTAGGTCTTGTGTAGACCTGGTAGGGTCAGGTGCATGTTTGACCTCTTCCTCCCTCCTTGACTGTTATTTTGATTTGAGGCTTATAGTCTTTTTTTATTTTCTGTTTATCTTGTCTTTTTTCAGGACCATGTCCATGAATTTATCCTATGGACGATGTAGGTGAACCTCTGAAAAGGGTGACTTTTATTTTTTTACTTGGTTTTAGATGTTTTGTTAATTGATTGTGTGGTATTTGGGCTCAAGAATAAGTGTATGATGTATGGAATAACAGGTATATGGTGTTGTATAGCTATTTCTGTTAAAAGTGTGAAACCGTCATTACTGTTTTGGAGGTTTCTATACTGTTGTATGATTTCTAATAATGTATTTTTAATTGCTTCAAAGATAGAATTTGTTTCGATTTCAAGTGTGTTTGTTGGTTGACTTTCTGTGATTTGATTTTTGTTTTGTTGTAGATTTCAACTGTTAGGTTGTTTCTGGATTTGTTTTGTTGGCATTTGCGTTTCTTGATTCAGTGGTTGTGTCCGTGCTGCCTCTGCGTAAGTGTATATTGTAGTTTGTACGGGTGTATTATGTGTTACTGGTGTGGGGAATAGTGGTGACAGCCTTCCTCCTGGGTAGTAGTTCAAAATTTTATACTTGAGCACGATAGGGGTCTCTGACTTGGATATTAGCTCATGTGCACAAAGGTGACAAAACAAAGTAGAAAAGAGTTTGATACAAATTTGCTATATATAATGGTTAATTAAACATTTGTAGTAAACTAATGTACATATTTTCCTACGTCTCATTATTGTTTTATTTATATGAATCATAAAACTGATCGCTTTTGGAACGTAGTCGTTTCTTCTCCCACGGTGAATTGGGAATTTCCTATATTTGTGTTTAAATATTACACAAACATACATTTATATATATTTGCCTCACAATGCTTCTATTTCAAAATAGTTTGTGCTGATACACTTTTTATATAACAGAGCAACTCAAAATAATGGTTTCACTTTTGATATAAATGTTCATGTTTTAATGAAATTAGTTTATACATTTTCAAAACTGAATTATAACGTATTATTCCAAATATTCACAAAAAATATTTTAATACTTCTTTCACGTATAAGTACTGTGAAACATGCCTGTTTCAGAAAAACAACTTTCAACATGAACGGTAAACAAAGTGATCACAAATACTGAATGTCGTTAATAAAAGGACCATCACTTTTTTTTTTTTTACTCAGTCCCATTAATAATAATATTTATATAATTTCGGTTAATAAACAAACAAATGTATATGTATAAATATGATTATGAATCTGTTCTAACAGGCTAACAAACACAACCCCACTCGTCACAATAGAGGGTTGTATACAAAATCTAGAACTTAACCTAATGAAACTTCTGTTCAAGGTCGTTGTGACCCTAACTAATGTTTCATGGTCAAGGATCTTCTTCTGGTCAGTATCTAGATCCGATGGTGTATCTAGGAAGGTCAGGTTCATTTTTGACCTCAAGGATAATACCTTCAATAGAACAACTTAAAAACTCCGCTCTTTGCTTTTGCTTAACGGAAGATTTCAAGTAGTCAGTTGTGTTGGTTATTAAAAACATTAGAAATAACTATATAATAAATAACTCTTGCACGAAAAGTGAAACTCACATTTGTCATTGACACAACAAAAATATATTATATATATACAGCTCGAAACAATGACTATGTATTACTTTCAAAGATGCATTGTGATTTTTTTTTCAAAATGTTTCATTTTCAGTTTTAACCAGAAAAGCATCTGCAAATACATACACAGGCTGAGAAAAATGCGAAATAAATGACCGAGTAGACAAAACTTTAATGTGAATAAATTGTACTGTCGTCACGCCTATTATAATAACACACTGTACGTAGTTTTCGTCTGTCCTGAAAATGCGCGCGCACTTTATTTCAACGGATATAAACAAAAGGCGGATGTAAATATACTTTAGCAGACATTTTGTACATGTTAAAAGCTTATAAACGTTTTTAAGAAGGTCTAACGTTAGGTCGTACAATAATATTATAAGTTTATTTATTAATATTGTTAAGTATGGTAAAGTTTAGCCCTAACTAAACTGAAGCAAAAAACGTACACGAGTTGCATTGTTACTTTTTAATTTGCCTCTTTATCGAATATAAGTCATACTTAATAAAGGTTTAACTACTGTTAGGCCTAATAGAGTGAACTTGTAGATTTCGGTACCTGCGATTAGAATTATTTTGTTTTATTCTAGAAATATTTTATTTAAAGGAGTACTGTTGCAATAAAGATACTAATCTGACCGCAAATGTTTGGCGGATCTCTGCTAGTTGTAATAATGCTTAGAATCGGTTTCTTCTCTCAGATGTATGAAGCATTTTTTTACATTAGGCATGTTATCGAACTAACCTACACATTTTTTTCTCAGTTTAAAAATGCACAAAGGGTGCTTTTATAAGTATGTACATATTATAGTTTCAGAAAATGAATGAAATAAAACATCATAATACATTACCCAACGCTTATTACTAATAGTAAAAACAACATAATTTTTTGGCAGTAAATTTAGAAGAAAAAAAATAGGCCTTCACTCTCCTGATGATAATAACAGGAAAAAAAAAACTTTTTATTTCAGTCAACGATTCGCCATTGCGGTTTCATCAGTACTAGTAATATAAGAACTGTTTGATGT